TTGTAATCCAAAAGGCTTACCATTGTGGCTTTCCGCTGTAAAAACTCAGTTCTTGAAGAATATCCAGTTTAGCTGTGCAGCTAGCGTTATCCACTTTCCTGGATCACCAGAGGAAACAAAGTTCTTCTCACGCTGGCGTTTGGTGTTCAGACGATCTCTGTAGATTTTTTCATGAGACTGAAAAGTCATCCATTGATCCTCAGACAGCGGGCGAACATACTGCTGGAAAACGTAAGCTCTTCTACTGGTAGATGGAATCCATGGGAGGAAACAGGAGGTAACAGTGGTTGTTGGTAAATTCTCCCGGTGAGTAATGCTTGTTTGTATGCAAGCTTAATTGTTGCGATCAAGCACATTGTCCACAATAATTGCCAAAACATCTTATCTGCACCTATTTACATTAACGATGGCAATTACAATGGGTGTGGTTGTTTAATTTTTCCAAGCAGCATTTTGGCGTTCACCTGCACCAGCAAGTGTCCTACAACCTGCCGCCATTTTGCACACACACACACACACATACACGCACGTTGTTTTTTATGTTTTCTGGGGATGCTCCATAGGCGTAATGAATTTGTACTGTACAAACACTTACCCATCACACAAAAATCTCTGCATATGCTTACATTTTTAATTAAATATTGTTTGTAAGAATTTTAATTATGAGGACTCAAGAAATATCCTCGTAAACACATTTATGTTGTTATATAATTGTAATACCTATGTCATTATAAAAATATGCATCCTGATAAGTAATATAAACAAGAACATACATAAATAAACATTTCGAGCTAAAGAGAAACTTATCTCTATTTTAAATAATATGGTAATAAAATATATGACATCATAGTAACATGTTACTGAAGCAAAATTATACATTTAAACATGTATTCAACATTTATTTAAGCTTATTGAACTTATTAAACACACTATTCTCTTCATTTAAAGAAGATAGTAGCAAATAAAACTGTAATTATATATAACATGCTGTATAAAATAAACATTTAATATAATTTTATGTCATATGTGTGTGTGTGTGTGTGTGTGTGTGTGTGTGTGTGTGTGTGTGTGTGTGTGTGTGTACCTGTCATCTCGCAAACTGACTTCCCAAGGTATTTGGATTCCGTTTTTGTTGCTTGTCTTGTGGATCCAAATAAAATAATAAAATGTGTGTGTGTGTGTGTGTGTGTGTGTGGGTGCGCGCACGTGGCACAACAGTCAATAAAAGCCGGCCATTTGCAAGTCTGTGTAATGCAAATAAACCACCTGGAGCCATGTGTTGCAACCAAATTATTCAATTTCTGCTTCACGGTGGCCATTCCACATGAGTAATACTACATACATTATTACATTTTTGAATGGTTTGTGTTTGCATCTTCAGGCTGTTCAGCATGAAATCACTACAAATGTTACATAATACCTGTCAGCTTAATAGTCAATCTATCACATACAGGCTCTGAGACTGAATGCCTTTATAATGACTCCTAAATATGTACAGTATCTCACAGAAGCGAGTATACCCCTCATATTTTTGTAAATATTTTATTATATCTTTTCATGTGACAACACTGAAGAAATGACACTTTGCTACAATGTAAAGTAGTGAGTGTACAGCTTGTATAACAGTGTCAATTTGCTGTCCCCTCAAAATAACTCAACACACAGCCATTAATGTCTAAACCGCTGGCTACAAAAGTGAGTACACCCCTAAGTGAAATAAATATTTGGATAAACTATTATTTTAATACATTATTAGATTGTTATAGCCTTATGAATTCAATTAATTAGACATGCGTTTTGATTATTAAAATTGAACGAAACCATCAATATTAAATCTTGAAAAAATAAAAATGGAAAACACAGAATTTGGGGGGGGAAATATAATAAAATAGATGAATTTCATAGGTCCCTAGAATCAGTTAAAACCAAGTTTAAATCCAAGTGGTTAGTGCATTAACATCTCACTGACTTACAGACTGGATGTTTAGTATGTGGTTAGGACCATTGTGAGTAGGCCTGGGCGATAAAACGGTATCGATATTTATCGACGTTACACCTTTCTTCGATAACGATATAAAAAATGTTCGATATAGTGCATGATATAGGCACGTGCTATGAGTGATGCAGACAGCACACACAAACACGAACACATGCTGAATTGAGTGCTGTGCCTGCCTGTGATGAGGAGATTGTGAATAAAAAAAAATGTATATGGCAAATTTAAAATAAACATTTGCATTTGAATGTTAGGTGTGCGTCAGGGAGCGTCATCAGTAGAGCATGAGATGCGGTGATGATGTAAGTGACGTTGCATTTTAATGTTTTGTCAGTCTAGCCCACGAGACGAGCCGCTGCTGTGTTATTCATTCAAAATATTAGAGAAATATAGAAGCTCAATGCGGAGAAGATCTTGACTAGGTGAAAACCGAAACCAAGCCATTCACACAGAACGCATATTCAGCACATTTTTAGACAGACAAATATGACTGCTGCACTCGCGTCTCACACAAGAGATGTAGCCATGCAAAGTTAAAACAGTTTAAACTTTTAGAACACACGTCGCGAATTTGTGGAGTTTTATTCCGTTTCACTGCGTCTCTTATGTTTTTAAATGCAATATGCGTGATGGGCGATTCAGCTCTTTGTATTAAGCATGATGCAAATACATGATGCTGTTTTGTTCATAATTGTTTATGCAATTTACGAAATTATATTTGATTTATATGAGTTAATTTAGACGTAATGCAGGTTTTTTTAGACATTTATTTCTTTGCGTTCACAATTTAAATGTGCTGCATTACTTTGCTCATTGCGCTCTCCTGTGGCCTCGGGAGACAAGACGTCTCACACAAGAGATGTAGCCATGCAAAGTTAAAACAGTTAAAACTTTTAGAACACACGTCGCGAATTTGTGGAGTTTTATTCCTTTTCACTGCGTCTCTTATGTTTTTAAATGCAATATGCGTGATGGGCGATTCAGCTCTTTGTATTAAGCATGATGCAAATACATGATGCTGTTTTGTTCATAATTGTTTATGCAATTTACGAAATTATATTTGATTTATATGAGTTAATTTAGACGTAATGCAGGTTTTTTTAGACATTTATTTCTTTGCGTTCACAATTTAAATGTGCTGCATTACTTTGCTCATTGCGCTCTCCTGTGGCCTCGGGAGACAAGACAAAAGTTTCATTAAAGGGGTCATATGATGCTTTTGGGTGAACTATCCCGTCAAAGCAATGCTCTGTCATATAACACACAGCATGAAGCTGCTCACCTCTCTCTGCTTGGTCTCTGGGCACTCAGAGTGTAGTGTCAGCGTTGCGCCCTCGATGTTTCGCGGCATAGGGGTGGATCCCGGGTTGATGATGAACTGTATCTGGTCTGGTGAGATGGTGTGGTGTATGTATCCCTGTGACATGCAATCCGGGTCACCCATGAAGGCCAGAGAGCCCTCGTCTCCCTCGCCCTCTCCCTCTGGCAGGAAGGCCATGCAGTCCTCCTCACCCTCCTCGTCCAGGCGGATGGGGTCTTGCTCGATGAGCACAGTGGTGCGATCATAGACCCTTCCCGAGGAGGACGAGGGTCCCGAGATTATGCCGTTGTCTTTGTCATAGTCTGCCATCTTGTCCTCATCTTCCTCCTCATGGTCCAGTTGGTCCACATCCTCTTCCTCGTCCTCAAAGAGCATGGCTGTCTCCGTGAGAGGGCCATTCTCTCCCATGATCCTGATGGAGGAGCTCAGTCCTGGATTTGTGTCCTCGTGCTTGCTTTTGTTGCGGCTGGAATAAGTTTAAAGAGGTTAAAGACAATATTCATAGTACACAATGTCACACTGTAAAAACATTTCTGTAAAATGTACGGTAAAAAACCGGCAGCTGTGGTTGCCGGAATTTTACCGTAAAAATACGGTAGCAACTTCAATTTACAGTTAAACACCGTAATTTCATTAACTGATATAATGTTAATATACCAACCTATTGAAGTACTGAAATCTGTTTTGTAGCTTTGTAATACACTGACAACCACCAAATGCAGGAGGTGATGAGGAAGTCACATGATGAACCAAAGCCCATCACAAGCAGCTTTTAAATAATAACATATATAGAAGGTGCACAGTGTCACTCACACAAACACATTCTGGGAATGTCAATTTACGGTAATTCACTGTAAATTATACGGTCTTTTTCACTTCCAAAAACGGTATACTACCGTAAAATTAATGTCCAATACAGTTTTTCACCGTATATAGTAGGGGAATTTACCGTTAACCATTTAACAGGTTTTTACTGTAGCATTTTTACAGTCTTTTACCGTTAAATTCACGGTCATTTTTTACAGTGGCAGGTAATCAAACTGAAAACAGGATTTATCGGCCTGAATCATGGACTGAACTGGCAACTGACTTCTTCATAGTGCTGTCATTGTCAATTAATACTGAAACTATTAAAAAAAGATTTTTGGTAATTAAAATAAAGGTGAAATAAAATAAGATATAAATATCAGATGAAAAAATTAAACTATTAAAAATAGTTTTCAGTAAATCGAATACAGCTGAAATAATATAAGCTATAGATATCAATGAAAAACTTAAAAAAACAATTAAAATGGTTTTCAGTAAATTAAATAAATCTGAAATAAAATTGGATATAAATATTAGAAGAAAAAATGTAATAAAAATAAATTTAAACTAAATAAAAATATAAAAAACAAATAAAATGACAAGCCCATAAAATCTAAATAAAAATTCAAATAAATTTAAAAGGAAAATTGAAAATATAAAACGTTAAATCAAAATATTAACACTGTTCCTCGTTGAATCGTTATAATAACCGCGGGTCCTCATTGTTAAATGAGGAACAATGAGGAAATGTCAAGAACTATTAACGTGTGCATTATCAAGAAATAAAAATGCTCATTTGTAAGTTTCTGTACATTTAAACCAGCATAATTACTATGAAAATTACATATCCACGTATCCGTTTTACAGTATGGTTGTAATAAATTGTTGTGTTGGAAAAATAGTACCGTGTCTCATACTGTCACGAGAAACTAGGACAATGCAGGGAAACTATTTTTGGCTGGTGTTAGAGTAACAACAAAACAATAAGGGTAAAGGTGCCTTTGCAAACTGAAACCACTGTTGCCATGTACCTATAACACATACACACACAATGGTCAACCTAAAACAAAAATGACCCAAACACACCGGCTGTGTCGCAAAACCTAGCTGAGCTGACTACCTAGACAGCACTTTGGACATCACTATGTTCATTATGAGTCAACACTGAAAATGATGATAAAAGGTTTTAAGATTACGACGTTATCTAGAAAGACACCTTACTAGGTTATAATGGCCATAAATTCTGTCTAGGAAGGCAGCGTACCATCTCATGATGCTCGAAATGCTCTAGGTGGGAAGCTCATTAGGTTATTATACCCAAAAACTGTCTAGGAAAACAGCTGACTAGTTATTATGCCCAAAAATGCAGTCTAGGAAGTCAGCTGACTGGGGCGATATGTAAGGCTCACAATGTACACTATGAATGCCTTTCTCATACTACTACCCGGTTGAAAAAAACCAGCATATGCTGGTTAGGTATGTTTTGACGCTGGGATGCTGGTTTAAGCTGGTCCTTTTGCTGGTTTAAGCTGGTCCATTTGCTGGTTTACGCGGGTCCTTTTGCTGGTTTACGCTGGTCCTTTCTTTCGCTGGTTTACGCTGGTCCTTTCTTTCGCTGGTTTACGCTGGTCCTCCGCTGGTCCTTTGCTGGTTTAAGCTGGTCCTTTGCTGGTTTAAGCTGGTCCTTTGCTGGTTTATGCTGGGCCTTTTGCTGGTTTA